TCCCCCCTGAAACCGGGCCAAATGGGCCCCTAACGCCAACCTGAGGCCCTTTATGGGGGACTGGGGCCCCCAAATGGGCTACCCGGGGCCCCCCACTATCTACTGGGGCCCTTTACCCGGTCTAAATGGTCCACTGCCCAAATGGGGCCCTTTTCTGGCACTGGGGGCCCCTTTTCTGGCTAAATGGGCCCCCCCACTGGTCTACCTGGGCCCCCTTTAACCCGGTCTACGGGGCCCTTTAAATGGTCTAAAATTTTGGGGCCCCCCAATGGGGCTACTGGGGGCCCCTTTTCTGCTACTGGGCCCCCCACGATCTACTGGGGCCCTTTTTTCCCGGGCTACTTCCACGCCCTACGGGGGCCCCTTTTCTGGTCTAACTGGGGGCCCCTTAACTGGGCTACGGCCCCCCCACTGTCTACTGGGGCCCTTTTCTGGTCTACCCCCCTTTAAATGGTCTAACTGGCCCCCCCTACTGGGCTACTGGCCCCTTTTAAATGGTTTTAAATGGCCCCTTTTTCTGCCCCAACCCGGGGGCCCCTTTTCCCGGGGCTACCCGGCCCCCAAATGGTCTACTGGGCCCCCTTTACTGGTCTAAATGGGGGCCCTTTAAACCGGTCTAAATTTGGGCCCCCCACTTTGGGCCCACTGGGGGCCCTTTTTCTTTTACTGGCTCCCCCTACTGGTCTACTGGGCCCCCTTTTCTGGTCTACTTTGGGCCCCCCCACGGTTTTCTTTCCCCTTTAAATGCCCTACGTTTCCCTTTATTGGTCTACTGGGGCCCCCCACGGTCAACCCGGGGCCTTTACTGGCTACTGGGCCCCTGCCCTACGGGGCCCCTTTTCTGGGCAACTGAACCCCTTCCCCCCTGGGGCCCCTTTTCTGTCTACTGGGCCCGTTTTCTGGGCAACTGGTCCACTGCCCCAAATGGGCTTTTCTGGTCTACTGGGCCCCCTGCCCTACTGGGGGCCCCTTTTCCCGGGCCCACGGGGCCCATTAACTTTCCCACTGGGGCCCCCCACTGGTCTTTCTGGCCCCCCCAAAAAGGGCTAAGGGCCCCTTTTTGGTCACGGGCCCTTTCCCTACTGGGGGCCCCTTTTCTTTTACTGGCCCCCTAAATGGCTACCCGGGGGCCTTTACTGTCTACTTCCACTCCCACTGGGGGCCCCTTTTCTGGTCTACTGACCCCTGCCCTACTGGGGGCCCCTTTTCTGGGCTACTTGGGGCCCCTTACTGGTCTTCTGGTCCCCCTCCCTACTGGGGGGCCTTTTTCCCGTTTTAAATGGCCCCTGCCCTACTGGGGCCCCTTTTTTTTTTCTGGGCCCACTGGGGGCCCCTTACTGGTCTACCTTTGGGGGGGCCCCTACGGGCTACCCGGCCCCCTACTGGTCTACCCGGGCCCTTTACTGGTCACTGGCCCCCTGCCCCAAAATGGGGGCCCCTTTTCTGTCTACTGGTCCCCCCTGCCCCACTGGGGGGCCCCCTTTCTGGTCTACTGGGCCCATTATGGGCACTGGGCCCCCCCCAACCCGGTTTTTACTGGGCCCCCTTTTCTGGTCTACCCGGGGCCCCCTTTAAATGGGTCTACTGGGCCCCCCACTGGTCTACTGGGGGCCCTTTTTCTGGTCTACTTGGGTCCCCCACTGGTCTACTGGGGCCCCTTTAACTGGGTTCTTTTCCCGGGCCCCTACTGGGGTCTACTGGCCCCTAAAACGGGCCCCACGTAATTTCCCCTTTAAAGGGCTACTGGCCCCCCACTTGGGCAGGGCCCCCTACTGGGGCTACTGGGGGCCTTTAACCGCTACCTTTGGGCCCAAACCCCACTGGGGGCCCCTTTTCGGGGCTACTGGGGCCCCTTTTAAATGGTTTTAAATGATCCACCCCGCCCCACGGGGGGCCCTTTTTCTGGGCAAATGGGGCCCTTTTCTTGGGGCTACGAACCACTTTCCCCACTGGGGCCCTTTTCTGGGCTACTTTGGGGCCCCTTAACTGGTCTACTGGGCCCCCCCACTGGGTCTTCTGGGGCCCCCTTTTCTGGTCCCACTGGAAACCCCCCACTTTGGGCTACTGGGGCCCCATACTGCCCTCCCGGGGTCCCTTTTTTGGTCTACTGGGGCCCCCCACTGGTCTACTGGGGGCCCTTTTCTGGTCCCCACTTGGGCCCCCCCACCCGGTTTTAAATGGGCCCCTTTACTGGGCAAAGGGGGCCCCTTTTCTTGGCTAAATGGGGGGCCCCCCACGGTCCCACTGGGGCCCCCATACTCCCTACGGAGTCCCTTTTATTGGGCTACGGGCCCCTTAAATGGGCACTGGGGGCCCCCTTAAAATGGTCCCACTGGGGCCCCCTACTGGTCTACTGGGCCCCTATACTGCCCTACGGAGTCCCTTTATTGGTCTACTGGGCCCCCTACTGGTCTACTGGGCCCCTATACTGCCCTACTGGGCCCCTTTACTGGTCTACTGGGCCCCCTACTGGTCTACTGGGCCCCTATACTGCCCTACGGAGTCCCTTTACTGGTCTACTGAGACCGTCTACTGGTCTACTGGGCCCCCCTTCTGGTCTACTGAGCCCCTTTACTGGTCTACTGGGCCCCTTTACTGGTCTACTGAGACCGTCTACTGGTCTACTGGGCCCCCTTTACTGGTCTACTGGGCCCGTCTACTGGTCTACTGGGCCCCCTACTGGTCTACTGGGGCCCTTTACTGGTCTACTGGGCCCCCTACTGGTCTACTGGGCCCCTTTACTGGTCTACTGGGCCCCTTTACTGGTCTACTGAGACCGTCTACTGGGCCCCCTTTACTGGTCTACTGAGACCGTCTACTGGTCTACTGGGCCCCCTTTACTGGTCTACTGAGCCCGTCTATTGGTCTACTGGGCCCCGAGGAGGAAATATGGCAGTAAAACAAATTTCATATTTCTTTGGAAAACGACCACCAGTGAAGAAGATGGGGTATGCTGGTCTGATGGGTATGCTGGTCTGATGGGGTATGCTGATCTGATGGGGTATGCTGGTCTGATGGGGTATGCTGGTCTGATGGGGTATGCTGATCTGATGGGGTATGCTGGTCTGATGGGTATGCTGGTCTGATGGGGTATGCTGGTCTGATGGGTATGCTGGTCTGATGGGTATGCTGGTCTGATGGGGTATGCTGATCTGATGGGGTATGCTGATCTGATGGGGTATGCTGGTCTGATGGGGTGTGCTGATCTGATGGGGTATGCTGGTCTGATGGGTATGCTGGTCTGATGGGGTATGCTGGTCTGATGGGTATGCTGGTCTGATGGGTATGCTGGTCTGATGGGGTATGCTGATCTGATGGGGTATGCTGATCTGATGGGTATGCTGGTCTGATGGGGTATGCTGGTCTGATGGGTATGCTGGTCTGATGGGTATGCTGGTCTGATGGGGTATGCTGATCTGATGGGGTATGCTGGTCTGATCGGGGTATGCTGATCTGATGGGGTGTGCTGATCTGATGGGGTATAATGGTCTGATCGGGTATGCTGGTCTGATGGGGTGTGCTGTTCTGATGGGGTATGCTGGTCTGACGGGGTGTGCTGGTCTGATGGGGTATGCTGGTCTGATGGGGTATGCTGGTCTGATGGGTATGCTGGTCTGATGGGTATGCTGGTCTGATCGGGGCATGCTTGTCTGATGGGGCATGCTGGTCTGATGGGTATGCTGATCTGATGGGGTATGCTGATCTGATGGGGTATGCTGGTCTGATGGGTATGCTGGTCTGATGGGTATGCTGGTCTGATCGGGGCATGCTGGTCTGATGGGGTATGCTGGTCTGATGGGGTATGCTGGTCTGATCGGAGTATGCTGATCTGATGGGGTATGCTGGTCTGATCGGGGTATGCTGATCTGATGGGGTATGCTGGTCTGATCGGGGTATGCTGATCTGATGGGGTATGCTGGTCTGATCGGGGTATGCTGATCTGATGGGGTATGCTGGTCTGATCGGGGTATGCTGATCTGATGGGGTGTGCTGATCTGATGGGGTGTGCTGGTCTGATGGGGTGTTCTGGTCTGATGGGGTATGCTGGTCTGATGGGGTATGCTGGTCTGATGGGGTCTGCTGGTCTGATGGGGTATGCTGGTCTGATGGGGTATGCTGGTCTGATGGGGTCTGCCTGTCTGATGGGATATGCTGATCTGATGGGGTATGCTGGTCTGATGGGGTGTGCTGGTCTGATGGGGTCTGCTGGTCTGATGGGGTATGCTGGTCTGATGGGGTATGCTGGTCTGATGGGGTCTGCCTGTCTGATGGGGTCTGCTGGTCTGATTGGGTCTGCTGGTCTGATGGGGTATGCTGGTCTGATGGGGTATGCTGGTCTGATTGGGTCTGCTGGTCTGATGGGGTATGCTGGTCTGATTGGGTCTGCTGGTCTGATGGGGTATGCTGGTCTGATGGGGTCTGCTGGTCTGATGGGGTCTGCTGGTCTGATGGGGTCTGCTGGTCTGATGGGGTGTGCTGGTCTGATGGGGTCTGCTGGTCTGATGGGGTATGCTGGTCTGATGGGGTATGCTGGTCTGATGGGGTATGCTGGTCTGATGGGGTCTGCCTGTCTGATGGGGTCTTCTGGTCTGATTGGGTCTGCTGGTCTGATGGGGTATGCTGGTCTGATGGGGTCTGCTGGTCTGATGGGGTATGCTGGTCTGATGGGGTCTGCTGGTCTGATTGGGTCTGCTGGTCTGATGGGGTATGCTGGTCTGATGGGGTCTGCTGGTCTGATGGGATATGCTGATCTGATGGGGTGTGCTGGTCTGATGGGGTGTGCTGATCTGACGGGGTGTGCTGGTCTGACGGGGTATGCTGGTCTGACAGAACAGAGGTCCCTCCAATCTCCTTGAGCTTCTCTCAGCTCCTGACGGTGAGTTTCAGCTGCACCATCTGGAGCAGCTGGTTGCCATGAAGCAGAACCTAAATGAGATGTTCTCCTGACTGACTGGTCAGCCTTACTTGACCCAGACTAAAGGAGGTAGACCACCTACATGTTCTGGTGAGCTGAGTCAGTCTGACCTCCATGTGCTGTTTTGGGGGGTTCTCACCTGTGCAGGGCTGACACTTATTGGCTCCCTGAGAACAATCCAGGTGACGCTCTCCAACAGGGGTGGGGTGGTCAAAGAGCCCTCATAAGTCCAGTAATCCAGGGAAGCAGGAAGGAGAGTTCTTGCATCAAAGTTGGAGAAGGTGGTCTGCTTCCCCTGTAGGTCCGGTCAGGAAAGAAGGAGACATACGGCCGATCAGTACAGGAGCAACTGGCAACGCGTCCCTCCCACCATGTCGGACGGTTTACCTTGGTCTTAATGGCGTCCAAAGCATCCAGAACCTTCTGGAGGCGGGGGTTGGCTGCACCGATCTGATGGAAACATGGAGCTTATTCAGCTTCTTCAGCTAGCACCTTCTGCTCTGGATGAAGCAGCTCTTACCTTCAGGAAGATCCCCACCACAGCCAGTCCGTCGGGCTTATCGGCCGCCTCCCCGAAGCTGGGGTACTTGGTGTTCCAGTGGACCAGGTGGAGCTGAAGAAGAAGAGGGCACAGGTGTTCATGGCGTGGTCAGGATGAGAGGAAAGCTCTGTTCCAGCGTTACCGCGGTTACCTCACAGGGGAACCTGATGCCGTTGATGGTGTGCTCAGAGCCTCGGTCGTCTCTGCCCCCCCAGTGGAAATGGAACTGCTTCAGACGGTAGGTTCCAGGGACGGGGCCTCCAGTCAGCGCTGAGAAACACAAACAGTTCCTGAACACCAACCAGAAGTCATTCTAAAGGCCGACACCTCGTTTAGTACAGCAGCTGCTGGAGAAATTCCAGATAAACCTCAAAGAGCAGATCGTAGCTTAGAGACTGACTTTTATCAGCGTTTATAAAAATATGGGAGTGAAAATCTCCTAAACATCTATATCCAGCCATTCAGCAAAGATCCTGCTGCATGGCTGCACATCTGACATATGACCCTTGAATGATAGATTATCTACTGGAAATGAAGTTGGAAAAAAGTTAAGTAAAGAAAAAAAGTTAATAAGTCTAGTTAACAATTAGATTTAGGTTTATAAACTAAAAAATGTCAGTGCCAGTATCAGTATTGATGCTTCTAAGGTTATGTTGGACCAAATAAAAATTTGTTTCTTTCACTCTCAGAGGGTTTTTCATGAATTTCCTCTAGAAGAACTTTTGTTAGTTTTCTTAATATATTGTTGAAAGTTGTTTCTGGTTATTGTATTGATATTAATTTTTAACTTAAAAAAATAAATTTATTAAATTTTTATCATATAATCCCTTTTTTTTGAATGTTTCAAAGGTAATAAGGACTTGTCCTGGATTCCATTAACACTATTGGCTGGAAATGTTAAAGTTTTCACTATAAAGGGTTAAATAAACCGTCCTATGACGAACCGCTGCAGCAATAGTTTGGTTTATAGGAGGTATTTATCTGCAGCAGCAACAGCGCGGTGGTGAAGGGCTGAACCTGCATACTGAGCTGCAGATAGCAGATAAGGCGGCGTTTCCATCAGGCTTATCTGAGGGCATCCAGCCTGGGTGGAGGCATCAGCCCCCGTCCTACAGCTACACCCATAAGAGTCATAAGAATAAAGGCAGAGATGTTTTGCCAATAAAAGAATAAAATAATGAAACGGATGAAATTGAGATGCTGATGTCATCATTATCAGTGTTTAAAGTATGGGTCCATGAAGCCAAACCATCAGAACCAGCAGGGGGGTCAGTGCGGCTTACTGGAGCTGTCCGTGTCGTCCACAAAGTCCACCTGGAAGGAGTGTCCGTTGTTCAGGATGCCCTTGGCGTTGGACGGGTCGTACTGGAGCTTCAGACGCTTCAGCGACGGGTCATACTGGGCCTCCTTGGTCACAATGTCGATGGGGGACTGCCGGGGGCCGTTAGCCAGCGGGTATTCCTCCCCCCAGGTGTCGGGTCCTACCGGTGGAGCAGAGGGGACTCATTCAAACTTCTACATGTAGATCAGGCAGCATAGAGCCAGAGCTGCAGGAACCTGCAACTGACAGAGCTTCTCCTTAACCCCTAGAACCCTACGGACCCACCGGCGGGTCCAGCTGCTACGTGACCTCGTAATTTTAACAAACCCCCAGTATTGATGTAAAAAACACATTTGGCACAGTTTGGTGACATTTATGGATAAATGTGCCAAAATGGCCTCTCCGCCTAAGAAATCTCTCACTAATACCATTCTAAAATAAATATGATTCATCTGATTGAGTCCAAACTTGGTATATTTTTACACAACATTTAGATTTGAAAGTCTGTACTACTTTTTTGTGCTATAAATAATATTTTGGTAGTGTTTTGCAATGTTTATTTCAAAGAAAATTTTGGTGAGGTTCAAAAAATGCAAAATATTTTGTATTTTGTCCCTAATATTTCAGGCAGGGTCAAAGCTACAATGGTGCTGACACCAGAAAACCATTCTATGACATCTTACCTTTACAGAGGTACCAAAAGTTTCTTCTTAAATCTAATAGCTGTGAGGCTATAAGTGATTTACTTTTGTGTGTTTTTGTCAGGCAGAAATTTATTTATAACCCCTTAGGGTGTAAGAGGTTAAGAACCCAGCTCTAACGGAGCAGCAGGGACAGAAACAGGGGCCCCTGGATTCTGTCAGGGACCCAGGGGCCACTGTGGGGCCACTGTGGGGCCGAGGCTCTCTGTTAAACATTTGGAACTGATGAGATCTTTACTGCATTTCTAACATTTTCTAACTTAAAAAAACAAAACAACACAAAAAAATTGATTCTCTCAGAAACAGCCTGAAACAGCCTGAAACAGCCTGAAACAGCCTGAAATAGCCTGAAATAGCCTGAAACAGCCTGAAACAGCCTGAAATAGCCTGAAACAGCCTGAAATAGCCTGAAACAGCCTGAAATAGCCTGAAATAGCCTGAAACAGCCTGAAACAGCCTGAAACAGCCTGAAATAGCCTGAAACAGCCTGAAACAGCCTGAAACAGCCTGAAATAGCCTGAAACAGCCTGAAACAGCCTGAAATAGCCTGAAACAGCCTGAAATAGCCTGAAACAGCCTGAAATAGCCTGAAATAGCCTGAAACAGCCTGAAACAGCCTGAAACAGCCTGAAACAGCCTGAAATAGCCTGAAACAGCCTGAAACAGCCTGAAACAGCCTGAAACAGCCTGAAATAGCCTGAAACAGCCTGAAACAGCCTGAAACAGCCTGAAATAGCCTGAAACAGCCTGAAACAGCCTGAAATAGCCTGAAACAGCCTGAAACAGCCTGAAACAGCCTGAAATAGCCTGAAACAGCCTGAAATAGCCTGAAACAGCCTGAAATAGCCTGAAATAGCCTGAAACAGCCTGAAACAGCCTGAAACAGCCTGAAACAGCCTGAAACAGCCTGAAATAGCCTGAAACAGCCTGAAACAGCCTGAAACAGCCTGAAATAGCCTGAAATAGCCTGAAACAGCCTGAAACAGCCTGAAACAGCCTGAAATAGCCTGAAACAGCCTGAAACAGCCTGAAACAGCCTGAAATAGCCTGAAACAGCCTGAAACAGCCTGAAATAGCCTGAAACAGCCTGAAACAGCCTGAAATAGCCTGAAACAGCCTGAAACAGCCTGAAATAGCCTGAAACAGCCTGAAACAGCCTGAAATAGCCTGAAACAGCCTGAAATAGCCTGAAATAGCCTGAAACAGCCTGAAACAGCCTGAAACAGCCTGAAATAGCCTGAAACAGCCTGAAACAGCCTGAAACAGCCTGAAATAGCCTGAAACAGCCTGAAACAGCCTGAAACAGCCTGAAATAGCCTGAAACAGCCTGAAATAGCCTGAAACAGCCTGAAACAGCCTGAAACAGCCTGAAATAGCCTGAAATAGCCTGAAACAGCCTGAAATAGCCTGAAACAGCCTGAAACAGCCTGAAACAGCCTGAAACAGCCTGAAATAGCCTGAAACAGCCTGAAACAGCCTGAAACAGCCTGAAACAGCCTGAAACAGCCTGAAACAGCTGTCAGTCATCATCATCATCCTCCTCCTCCTTCAAACCGGCTCCATGTGAACAGGTCTGAACAGAGAAACAGTTTCTCATCTGGATCCATTTGTCCCGACAGCAGTTATAGACAGGAGGCAGCAAGGGGCCCCCAGCGGCCTGTGGCCCCCAGCTGCCTGTGGCTACCAGCAGCCTGTGGCTCCCAGCAGCCTGTGGCCCCCAGCTGCCTGTGGCCCCCAGCAGCCTGTGGCCCCCAGCTGCCTGTGGCTACCAGCAGCCTGTGGCCCCCAGCAACCTGTGGCTCCCAGCAGCCTGTGGCCCCCAGCAGCCTGTGGCCCCCAGCAGCCTGTGGCTACCAGCAGCCTGTGGCCCCCAGCAGCCTGTGGCTCCCAGCAGCCTGTGGCCCCCAGCTGCCTGTGGCCCCCAGCAGCCTGTGGCCCCCAGCAGCCTGTGGCTCCCAGCAGCCTGTGGCCCCCAGCTGCCTGTGGCCCCCAGCGGCCTGTGGCCCCCAAGGGCCTGTGTCCCCACTGATGTGCGGAGGCTCCTTACCGTTGCTCGATCCGTATCCCCATCCGTGAGCCATGGCTGCTGCTGCTGAGGCCGATGATCGGTGCTCTGCAGGAGGGAAAGACGGCCGTCCTCTTATGGGGGGGCGGGGGGGGGGGGCTCCTCCCCTCCTCTGCTCCTCCTCTGCTCCTCCTCTGCTCCTCTCTTTGCTGTTTTGCTCCGAGGTGCTTTGCTTCAGTTTAACCGTGAAACATTAAAACTCGTCTGGATGAGCGTCTTCAGGAAAATCATTTAGATATTAATTTCTGTTTATAATCAGGATCTTCTGCTTCCAGCTGATAATAACATTATATTTATAGAAATATTGTGTCTTGATAAAACGGATGTTTAATATATAACTAAATATTGCTTTTCTTATTTAGCTGATTAGTTTAATAAAGGTAAATTAGAATGATCTCCAAACTAAGCAGAAATCGTTCGCAACTTAACAAAGAACAACACTAATGATTAGTTTCTTTATTATTCAATTAAAAAATGGCTGCTTTAATCAAACAACATATTTCCAATTAGAAACACCTTCACTTTACTACAGGAGAAAAACACTTTGGAATGCAAAAAACATAGTAGAGACTAAAACGACTCCATTTGAACACTTTTATTTGATAAAAGTCAAGTTTTAAAGTTTTAAAGGTTTAAAGCAACTTTTTAAAATTAAAGTAACATTGTTTTTTAATTGGACTGTATAATAGTTAGGACATTAGTGTCTTTATTGTTCAAGCTAAAATGAAGCTTCAAACAAACAACAATATCAATAAAAAAGTAACTTAAATGAAAACATAAATGCTTTCAATCATAGAAAATAGATTTTTAATCCAAATAAAATATTAAAATTTTATAATATTTAAAATGTTCTCTTTGATCAAAGTAATCTTTTGTTTGGGGCTTCAGAATCAGAATCGGGATCAGAATCAGGATCAGAATCAGAATCAGGATAAGGATCAGGATCAGGATCAGGATCAGGATCAGAATCAGAATCAGGATCAGGATCAGGATCAGAATCAGGATCAGAATCAGGATCAGAATCAGAATCAGGATAAGGATCAGGATCAGAATCAGGATCAGGATCAGAATCAGGATCAGGATCAGGATCAGAATCAGAATCAGAATCAGAATCAGGATCAGGATCAGAATCAGAATCAGGATCAGGATCAGGATCAGGATCAGGATCAGAATCAGGATCAGGATCAGAATCAGAATCAGAATCAGGATCAGGATCAGAATCAGGATCAGAATCAGGATCAGAATCAGAATCAGGATAAGTATCAGGATCAGAATCAGGATCAGGATCAGAATCAGAATCAGGATCAGGATCAGAATCAGAATCAGAATCAGGATCAGGATCAGAATCAGAATCAGGATCAGAATCAGAATCAGGATCAGGATCAGAATCAGGATCAGAATCAGGATCAGGATCAGAATCAGAATCACGATCAGAATCAGAATCAGGATCAGGATCAGGATCAGAATCAGGATCAGGATCAGGATCAGAATCAGGATCAGAATCAGGATCAGAATCAGGATCAGGATCAGAATCAGGATCAGAATCAGGATCAGAATCAGGATCAGAATCAGGATCAGGATCAGAATCAGAATAAGGATCAGAATCAGGATCACGATCAGAATCAGGATCAGAATCAGAATCAGGATCAGGATCAGAATCAGAATCAGGATCAGGATCAGAATCAGAATCAGAATCAGGATCAGGATCAGAATCAGAATCAGAATCAGAATCAGGATCAGAAATACTTTAATGATCCCAGGGGGAAATTATCTTCTTTCTGATGGGTCAGAGCGTCCGCCATGTTGAATGGGGCAAATAGATCCAGATACTAAACAGTATCAGATGGACTTTAAGAGTTTATTTTGTATCCCTTTGGCTTAGGTCTCCTGACTTTATTCTCATAAAGAATAAAAATAAAGAATAAGAAATAAAAGAATCTAACCTGGTCCTATTCCACTGTTCGATGGATTTCACTCAGTCGGCACTTTATTTTCATATCTTTGCAGAAGCAACAGCCAGTTCTCTCGCAGCAATCAAGTCATGCTGATTCTGCTCCTGCAGCCATGGACCAATAATGTGACACATCGAATCACCGATATTATCCCAGTTTAATATGATAACTGACTGTTGAATATAATATCCATTTCTCAATTACATCCATCACTCATATACTTTGGATAAGTTCCAGTTAGTGGCAGATTGGCACCATCTAGTGGATGAAGATATTAAAACAACGAGTGCCGATCAACTGTAACTGAATAAATTCTTCATGAAAGAATGAACAGCCCTTCTCACGCTTATTTGTTGATGAATTTGCTTCTGCCATTTCCTCTACATCATTATATGTAACAGCTGGCGAGTTAATCAAACCAGTTTCCATCAACCATCAATTTTGCAAAGACAGTGTCATGGTTTTGGTTCTGTTTGAGTTTGATCTTTAAGTTTTCATTGGTTTTATTTCCATTTTGTGTTATTCTAGTTATTTTTGATTGTATTTGAGTTCTTAGGTATTTCTTGTTTGCCCTCTGCTGCCCTCTTGTGTCAGTCTCCTTCTCGTAGCTCCCTTCTAGACTCCTCTGTTCACACCTGCTCCCAATCTGCTGATTAGCCTGGTCTTTGCTTCTCTCTCCCATATATGGACCTCCTGCTCATCATCACTGTTGCTGGTTTGTCATCATTTCTTTGCCCTCTTGTTGAGTTTTTCTGGATTTAAGTATTTTTTAGACTCGGTGGATTTTGTTATTTGTTACTATTTGTTACTCCAAGAACCACCTCAGCTTCAGCTTCTGCATTCGGGTCCTCTTCAAACCTCCACCCACCCTGACAGACAGACCGCTAACAGGAAGTGGCCCTTTTCAACGGCGGACTATTTCCAGGTTTCGTGACAAAAGTCTTTTAGCTGTTCCCAGATTTAAGAAAAATCAAGTTGCTATGGTTGCTGTGGTTACGTATTCAAACAAGTATCCAAAAAGGATAAAAATATCAGTGAACATTCTTCTAGTCTGACAGCGTTCAAGACCAGAGGCTAAAAAAAATAAGAAAAAAGAAATTCCACTAATATAGAAACAAAATTTCTCGTAAAGTCAAATATCAGAGTCAAGCTAGCAGAGCTTCTCCAACATGCAGCCGCCTCAAGCAGCGCAGTTCTAGAAATAAGTCATTAACTCAACTTATAGTGCAGTTTGCTGTATAAATACAGCTGCTTCCTCTGTTTACAATGATCCACAGCAGAAACATGGTCGCTTTTTGTCCCTGGTAGTACTTCGGACAGCCCTATGTATTTCAGTTAGCTAGCTTTTAGACGCCACGTCACTCAGCCAGGCGTAGAGCTGTCAGATCGTCCATCCATCGAGGTGCTGGGTACAGGTAACCCATCCGGCTCCGACTGTTAAAGTTCATTTCTTTTCATGAATATCCTGGTCCCTGAAGGTAAAGACATGCAAACAAATGCAGCAATTCAGCACCTCTCCTCTGGACAGCTCCCAGAAGCATATTATGAGCAATGAAAAGTTTTAATTTTAAGAATAAGGTTAAAGGAAAAGTCGCTCATATTCAGAATTCAAACTTCTGAAAGTCCTTTAAATGTGAAATTATTCCATCCTGTTCAATAAATGATCAGTGTTTTAATTAAGACTAATTTTCATGTGAATGTGCTTTACTGGAGGCATCCATGTTTGTCAAAGAACAGATTTCTCTTTGCTTCTTCATGACTGCGTTCTCTGCCTGTGCTGAATAGAAATCTTGACTAAGGCAGATGGTTAAAGGATTGAGCAGCAAATATGGCAAAGATCTCAGTGAAAGCCCTTTAATGCAGGAGAGCTTAGTGCAGAGCATGAACAGACTTCCTTTTTACACTCTGTTTAGAGGGTTCCATCTATTTGCACATATTTTAGTATAACAAATTACATGACAGATACAGATGACTCCTGAATCAGCATAAACGGTAGGAAACACATGGCTGATCAACATCAACAGAGGCCTGTACAATAATCTAATGTCATTATACGTCACAAAAGAGATTTACTCAATGAGGGTAATATGGCTTATCTAATATTCCAGTATGATTACAGCATGATTCTGCGTTTTATGTCGTTTTAGGTGTTTATCTTCAAAGTAAACATGTCTAAAGTGTGATATTGCGTCTGTTCTGGGATTTCTTGACTTCAGAAGTTTTTGTTTCTATATTGAATTTACTTAAATGAACAAATATATAAACTATGGCCATATCATCCAGCCTTAATCCAAAGAGAAAATGTGGGAATAATGTCCCTGCTTGGACACTAACCGTGTTTCTTCCACTAGGGGGCAGTGTGGTCCACATCACCTGCCAAACATCTGTCCTAAGAAGCTGTAGTTTAAGAGCAGTTCTCAGCATCAACCCATCTGCTGACCTCTAGATCTCAATAAAGCCTTTATTAAATGCTACTGTTTATTTAATGGCTGAATTCAAGGTTCTCCTTAAGTTCTTACCGGGACTTTCTCTCCTGTAGGACTTCCTCCAATGACTGCCTGTAAAACACAGCTCCACAATAAGCAGGCAGCAACTCCCTCCTTCTGTAATCTCCAAGACTTCACACACAGGCCCAGATTTAGGAAATGTGGGGCCCTAGGCAAAGACAGGCAGGGGCCCCTCTGAATGGAGACAGCCCAATTCTCCAGATAGAGAAATGTTAATAGAATAGACATCTATTCTATTAACCATGATCTGCTTATCTGTTCTCCATTTTTCATTTGGATGAAATAATAGCTGCATGAATCATGACAGCAGACAAGATAGAGGAGAGCAGGAGGCGGGGTTACCAATCTACTCGCTCTGGAGAGCAGAGTTCGCTGCTTTTAGATGTTGTCTCCAAAGTCTCCAGTAGCAGAAAAAAGTCTCTAGATTTGGCGCTAGGAGCTTTTTAGAAATCAAAGTGCTAGAGGGGTCTGAAAAGTGGCTAAATATAGCGACTAAAGCGCTAAGTTGGCAACACTGCTCTTTGCATGGTTTGTTTTCAAATGGTTTGCTGCTGTCTGTTTGGACCTTTCTGAACATGTGCAGCAAATGGACTGATCCAATATGGTGGACACTGAAGGGGGGGGGGGCTGAGACACACTTAATATTATCAGCGTTCTGATGGCATTTTAGCCAAAGGATTTTTATCAATAACATAACTAATGTGCACAAATAGTTGTATTAACCAGAGTTTTATGGGGCACTAGGGAACTTCCTAGTATCACCCCCCCCCCCCCCCAATGCCACCACTGTTCCACCCTCCAACAGCTTCTTCAGTGACATCTTTCCTCCTCCTGCTTCTCATCTTCAGCAGAACCAGCTTACAGATCTCAGAAGTGTCCCAGTCAGTCCCACTAGTCCCAGTCGTGCTGCAGTTCCCCCATGACCCCCACCCCTAACCCCCCCCCCCCCCGTCACCATCCTTCATGGTTGCTGATCCTGGTTCTGCTTCTCTCTATATTAAGTTGCCATCATCCAAGCTTCTGCTCCATCATGTCTTCTTCTCTCTGTTGCTTCACTGAACATGGCTGTAGGATAGGTAACTGAGCATAGAAGCTAACCATAGCACATCTGCAATTTATTCATCTATTATAAAGCAGAACAGTTTTTAATTTTATCAGACAAATCATCATTATAATGACAGTAATATCATTTCAAAGGTTCTATACTTCTAATGTTTAATGTGGATGTGCTACCCGCGCATTAAAATGGATCCTCTCCTGCAGACTGAGTCTCTTCCCAGAAACCTCCTCTGCTCCAACTTCATGAAAGCTGCTTAATCAGTGAACCTGATCTACTCCACTGTCCGACCATAATAAAGCTTTTATCTGGCTGCTAATGTGATTTAATCATCATTTCCTTCTGTTTGATCTGCTGACCGTTTGGATCTGATCGTTTATGAATGTGAGCTTTAGGTGCTGCCACACACATCCACACCATCTCCACACATCGATTCATTCTCAGGTTTATTTGCAGTAAAGGTGTGACATTAGTCAGATGCTGCTTCCGTTGTCCTTTCAAAATAAAATACCAATTAGAGGCAGGTGATCAGGTCAAACCCTGATTCAGTCAGTTTCTGTTTAAAAAGACAAAGAAGCACAAATCTGAGGAATGATTCACAAACACTGATTCACTTATTTCCTATCAGATGTCTGATGCTTTAACCTCTTCCTTTCCTTCTTTCCTTCTTTATTCCTTTCTTCCTTCCCTCCTTCCTTCCTCTCTTTTATTTTCGGAGCCATTCTGCTTATTTCCGGTGCTGTTGGGGCTCTTGCCCCCCCCTCTCTCTCTGACAGTCAGACTCACACCAGCCCACAGCTCCTCTCCTTCTCCTTCTCTCCTCTTGGTCTGCAGAACCGGAGGAGCGTTTGGATCTAGCAGGCGGTTCGGTCGGAGGTGTGGGACCTGCGCAGGTAAGCAGGAAGCGGGGCTGTCAGCCTGACGCGGTTCGGTTCTGATGGAATGTGACAGCCGTCATTAACGGCCTAATGCGGGCTTCCTGTGAGCCGCTCCACAGCTGGATGCCTCCGATCATCAAAGCTAAATGTGGAGAAGCTCGTGAGGAGGAACCTGGAGGAAGGAGTCCATGTTTAGCTGGTCGCCCACGCAGCGCCACGCCACGCAGCGCAGCGCCGCGCGCCTCAGGAGGGGGGAAACTTAATGGCCCATCTGCAGGCTGATGTTTAGGTGATGATGATGGTGATGATGATGATGGTCACAGAGGCGGTGGGTGGTTCTGAACAGGTTCTTGTTTAATGGCTGCAGAGTTATGGTTCTGATCCAGCTGCTGGGGGTGGGGGGGTACCTGGACCTGGACCTGGTTCTGGTTCTGAGCAGGACCTGGACCTGGAGGGTTCCGGGTTCTGAGCAGGACCTGCTCTCTGAAGCCATCAGGTGCTCAGTGCTGTCTAGGAGCTGCGGTTCTATAGAGCTGCCTGTGGGAAGGTTGATTTGATGAATCCAGAGAAATGTCCAAAATGAAAAGCTTTGCTATGAGAGTTTTTAAAAAGCATTAATGATTTATTAGAAGAACAGGTGAAGGAAGATATGAGGCACAGCTTTTATTGTCTAAGTCTGAGCTTTACTAGATTTAGTTCAGTAAAGCTTTTCTGGCAGTAAATGGACGTTTAAATGAATGAATGAATTAATTTGTGGCGGGGTGGGGGTCTAGTGGTTAGAGCATAGAGCTCAGAATCCTGAGGTTCTGAGTTCAAGCCCACTCCCACAGACTGCCACTCTGGGTCTCTGAGCAAGACCCTTAACCCCCCACTGCTCCCTGGGCACCGCACCATGGCAGCCCACTGCTCCCCAAGGGGGGGGGGGGGGTGGTTAAATGCAGAGAGGGGATTTCGTTGCTCTGTCCTGGTGACGGTGGAAAGACGGTGGCGTTCCTATGAATAATGTGTCTGACAGGAATAAACCAAAGATGTTTTTGAAACGGACACAGAGCCAGCATGGTGTGGAAGTAAAGTTTGAACCGAGTGGACTCCTCCCACTCCACTGAATCCCACTGATGATCGAATTAAACAGAGTCTGGTTGACATGTCAGGATCCAGTCTTTAAAACAGGCAGAACTTTATTTAGAGTCTCCACCCTGACACTCACCCTGACCTGAACACACAGCCGTAGACCCAGCAGAACTGTTCAGTTCAGTGATGCAGCAGCGAATCAGACATTTCAGTCACATCCAGTCAGATCGGTTCAAACAGCTAAACTCCCTCTGTTTGCTACAAATGGTCCTCACTCTGATGCCAAAACAGGAGCAAAAACACAGACTATGGTTGTTTCACTTGAACTCGATTACGGACTCGTTTCCTCACCAAGCCCATTCTTGACTAGGAACCAGGGAAGTCTGGACTCGGGGAGAACGGGAGCATGCAGCATAGAGGGCGGATTATAACTTAGCAACAGCACAAGTCTACTGTCGCTTGGGTCTGGTTGCGAACCAGTTTTGCTAGTAAGCTTCTGCATCGTCGGTCAGGAATTTCTAGGGACGCACAGCAGTTTCCCACCAAAGCACTAGGGGGAGCCTAATCGAGAACTTGTGAGAACTTCTTCGGCTGCGACGGCGTGAGTGTTTATTTTCCAAAACAACATGTCTGAGGTATCGTACAAGCGGTTGTACTTCTGAACCTCCTCTATCAACCTTTCGTTGTGGTTATCCATTGTTGTTATTACTCCTCGGTTTTTAGAAATGGCGCGCCCCGGCACCGAATCGAGAAGGACGACCACGAAGACAGCCGGAAAGGTATACTAAGGACCAATTACAGCTGCTTTTTGTCTGCGTATTTCCGCTTGAGGTCTGCGTGGGTTTGCGACCGTCCGACGTATAGTCAGGATTTTTTTGAGGTGCGCGACGACTGTTGTAGAATCTCTGCGTCGGGGGCGTGGTCGCACAGAGACAGATTTGACGGTTGCAGCGGCTATGCGTCAGAAGCATAAATTGAATCTGGGTCAACTGGAACAGAAGCGTACAACGTTAGCCCTGGCTGCTGCAGCCAAAGCTAACTTTGGCCTTGGCTGCCTTAGACGGGCTAACATTAGCAATGGCTGCTGCAGCCAAAGCTAACTTTGGCCTGGGCTGCCTTAGACGGGCTAACATTAGCAATGGCTGCTGCAGCCAAAGCTAACTTTGGCCTTGGCTGCCTTAGACGGGCTAACATTAGCAATGGCTGCTGCAGCCAAAGCTAACTTTGGCCTTGGCTGCCTTAGACGGGCTAACATTAGCAATGGCTGCTGCAGCCAAAGCTAACTTTGGCCTTGACTGCCTTAGACGGGCTAACATTAGCAATGGCTGCTGCAGCCAAAGCTAACTTTGGCCTTGGCTGCCTTAGACGGGCTAACATTAGCAATGGCTGCTGCAGCCAAAGCTAACTTTGGCCTTGACTGCCTTAGACGGGCTAACGTTAGCCCTGGCTGCTAGTTGCCACATTCCTCTCAACATTAAATCCTGCATTAAATCCGTAAATGTTCCATATAGTGAAGCTTAAAGTATAATACTCTCGCATCAAATGATTTTACTTTTGTAGAACAGCAACAGAAAAGAGAACATTGAACTTAATCCTCTGAGCGCTAACCTGGAAGCTGCTGCTGCTGCAGTGCATGCTGGGACGGCTGTCATTCTGGAGAACGGACAGGTCTGCTCTGATGCATGCTGGGTAAAGAGGGAGGGGCCAGAACAACATCCGGGGACTTTGTCCGTTCTCGTGAACTGGAATAGTGCTGGGGGTGAGGATGATGAGGTTTCACAAGCACAAGTATGCACGTTAGAAATGGCCTGCGTTCAAAGCCGAGTCACAAGGGTTTTAAATTCAGATCTGAATTTTTTTTAACGTGTCACAGTAAAGATTCTGCTGGTTCTCATGGTAAGACAAAATTCCCAAAGGGAAACACTGATCTAAATGACATAAAATGTCAATTAATGTTCATTTAATTGAATCAACATTAAAGGAATTAGCATCATTTCTAAGCCAAAAATCACTTTTGAGCCAAACTCTCTGGGTTTTAACAGCATATACAGGGTTAAAAAGTACTTTCAAGACAAAATTATCCTTAACAACTAATCAAAGATTTTCTTCATTTTCAAAAATGATATTTAACTATAAAAATGACATAAAAAAGACTCAAGGACTTAGAACAGTTTGCTATGGTTCCAGTGATAAAAGATTTTTGAATATATTTTAACTAGAAAAACTTAATCTTAACAAGAAAAAAGAAAAACATTAAATTAAGTTTCAAAAGTTTTGGAATGACTCTGCCCTGGATTAAATTCCTTAATGTTAAGATTTTAGGAATGATTTCTGATCATATATTAATATGGAGAATTTATCAGAATCCTACCGCCGGCCCCTGGCCCCCGAGCTATGGTGGTGCGACTGGTGGGGCCCCCCTCTCCTGTAGTGGCTGGGTGAATTAGTTAGGGGGGGGGTGCTCTGGTTGGGTGGCCTGCGCGGGGCATGTGGGCCCCGATCCCGGGGCAGCTTTTGTTGGGGTCGGTCTGGTCCGGGTGCGGGGTGGGGGGCCGGCCTTGAAGCAGGAACAAAATGGGTTGGTGTGGCGGTGTCACCGCTCCCCTCCCCCCATCAGGATTTTAGGTTCACTTATTGGGTCATCCGATAATCCCGGGACCAACCACCGGTGCCGCCGGGTCTTTGGTTCTGGTATTATTAGATGTGAGTGTTATGTGTGAATGTGTGTCCGCCTGTTTTTTTTTCTGTGTGGTGCGAGTGGGGGCACTAGGGAGGGAAGGCATGATTGAGACTGTGAGTTTTTTTTTTTTTTCTCTCCCAGGCAGGGGTCTGAACTGTCCCCTCTCCCAAACACATCTCAAGTCTCCGCCAAGTGCGGAGCCAATTTCCCCCGTCCTGCTCTCCCTCTGCTAGCTGGTGTCGGGGCTCACCGGTGCACTGGTGGAGATCGGGGTTTGGGGGTGGATGCCCGGGTGGCTGCTGGCTCATTCCTGGCGGCCTCTCCACGGGGCCCGGCCAGCCAGGGACTTGCTGGGGCTCCCTCTGGGCTGTCTCTCCTCCTCCCAATGGTGGGGGTCTGATTTCCTGGGCTGGCCCGTCCTTGGTGCCTTCGCTCTTGGGGTCCCTTTGGGCGTCTGGGGCTTTGGGTCTCCTGGCGCTGGACTCAGTGCTCTGAGGGGGGGCACCTCTTCGGCTCTCCACATTGAGCATTTTTCCTTTGGATAAACTTTACATGCAGTAGTGCACCCCACAAACAACTACAAGTGCGCTGTTCCAGGTACTCAGAGATTCACTTCCATACCCACAGTATACATGTCAGATTAAATAATGAAACTTTAGCAAAAATGTCCTGAGTTAAGCTTCACTACTAACCCTAACCCTACCCACCAGAGTAATGTTTACAAAGCTAAGCTACAACAAATTAAAAAAGCACTTTAACTACATGAAAGCCTTTTCTTTCTAATGTCAAACTTCATTCATTCCGAGTCGTTTCTATCTAGTCATCAATGAAACTGTGACAAGCGGATCAGATCAGTTCAGATTGTTTATCAAACTTTTCTTTCTCAACAAAATTAATTATTATGTTCAAATTTCAACTCTAACCTCAGGTATAAATGAAAATATAGAATAGAAAATCCCTTTATTATCCCATAATGGGGGAAATTCTGGTGTTTACAGCAGCAAAAATATTATAGATAATGGTCACACAAATGTGGACCTTAAAAAATGTATAAGAATAACATGATATTGAAGAGTTATAGCTTTTTTAATGAAAGTACTGCTTGTTAGAAAGAAATCATGGGGGGAGGGGTCAGCCCAGCTATCACACAGATCAAGATCTTTTTATAGTGTGTTCATACTTGAATTATTTACTAAATGATAGCAGGTTGTGAAGTGCAGATGATGTGCTGAGAGCGGCTAATTTCCTGTTCAGAGTCAAAGTA